TGATTTTTCAAATACCAGTAATATAAACTTTTTTATATTTTTTAAGCTAATAACTCTGACTGAAAACATAGAAACAATCTAAGAAACCTCTTTCAAGTCTGCCTAATTATGTTGACAGGAACCTCAGCTCTTTCTGGTTCTCCAAAGACATGTGCCTGTTGTACTCTATAATGAAGCCTTCAAACTACATGTTTTCAACTGATGTTTCAGGTTCTACTTCGAATGCTTATCTTCCATGTCCTCTGCCATTTTAAAGCTTAAAACAAAAATGCAACAGGTTAAAGTAGCAATTAATAGAAAAAAAAATTTATAGAAAAAAATCAGTAGCTTCAGTCCTATGAGAAAACAAGCATTTCATAAATATTGAATACCACCACTACCCACATACTCTACAAGTTGGTTAGCAAAAAAAGACAGTAATTCCATTAGAGGCTTTCAGCAAGGAAAAGATAAAATAGTTTAGATAAAGTAGCTGACATTATTTATTGCTTTTTTCCTTTTAAAATGTGGCCAGCAACAATATCATACATTCCACAAAAATTTCAAGAGAAACTTTTACCAGTTATCTGTTAATTTTGAGCCCTCTATTAATGGGATTTCTTGTGGTTCAAGCTGTGTTTACTTGGCCAAGGGTTCGATTAGTTGCTCCTGCAGCATATGCTTATGTGAGCGAATAATTTTAGTCATATAAAATATTCATCAGTAGCTGATAGCCCCAGAAGTGAAAAGTTGAGCAGTTATCCTGTCCAGGAAAGGGCTTAATCATTCAATCAGAGGAAAGGTAGCCAATGCCCTTTAGTTCTTAAAGAAGGTTGAATTTAGACTAAGGAGGCACCCTGACAAGCAACTGTTTCCTCAAATTAGGTGGCTTATTCCTAACATCTTTCAGAAGTCATCTAACTAAACCCTCAAGTGAATTACTCTAGCTAGAAAATGAAAGTTAAAAGCTCTTCTTTCACATGATACTATAATTAAGCATAGCTAATACATTAAAGCATTAAGATCCTTTATATCATTCAAAATAAGCATATTTTCAACATTAGAAAAGCAGGTTAGATTTTGTCTTTAAAGCAGAGTTCACACACTAAACCATGTAATATTAAAAAAAATAAAATTCTAAGGGCTGGGGTTGTGGCCCAGTGGTAGAGTTCTCACCTAGCATGCATGGGGCACTGGGTTTGATCCTCAACACCACATAAAAATAAAATAAAGATATGTGTCCACCTAAAACTAAAAAATAAATTAAAAAAAATTCTATCTCTAAATCTCAAAGCTTGATGAAATCTTTAACATCTATCCAAATGTTTAGCTTTACTTTCAGAGTTCTTTTTTTGCTTTAAAATGGGTCCAAACTCAGATATAAAGAAAAAAAATATATGTACACATATATACATATATATACAGATATAGATATATAGATAGATATAGATAGATAGATATAGATATATAAGATATATACACACAGAGACTATAATATATTTAACATATATATACAAATTTGGATTGAAATAATAAGTTCATCCAGCAGCCAGAAAGTAATTTTGATCAAAATAGATCCAACCCTTACCACCTGCACAGACCAACTTACTACTTTTCATTTTCAGTTAGTATGTACCTATCTTATAGACATAGCCTAAGGACTTTCCTACATAGAGCTCAATTATAGGAGAGAGAGAGAGGTTTTTTCAGGTACTTAAAAAAATAAGTTGTAGCCCATGTACTCTCATTACACATAGATAAATTGGCTCTAGGTCTGAAGGGGATTTCAGGCCATGCAAAATTGTAGACAAATTATAAAAACAGACAGTCAAACTTGAAAGAAGGTCTAAACAAGCATCACACATAAGTGCAACGATTTCCCAGATCAACAATCCAACCAAATATTTCTAATCTCAGGAGTCTGAAAGCTGAATAAATTAGTCTTACCTTTTGATCAATATAAGTTGTTAGCTGATAAGTTAGCCAGTAGATATAAAGCTAAAGTTTCATTGTATTGTAGGTATTATCATACCACAAAAGGAGAAAATTTTATGAAAGGAATGTTGACTTTATTACCTTAAAATCATCAGGGGAAATATTGATATATTATTCCTCTTTCATGACATGATACTTAAACCATTGTTTGCTTTTCCAGATATTTTTAGATATTTCCCTTATGTACAAGATTTACTGATGTATTCTAGATACTTTCAGCAAAGAATTCATAGTGATTACAGTATTTGTAGCACTATAATTTCTTGGCAGTTATTTATTTACAAATGATCAATTCCAGGAACTAGCTTTACTAGGTAACTGATATTGAATAAATAAATTTAAGAGAGCTTTTAAATCATTCCTAGATTTGTAAGGCATTTCCTTGTTTCTTGGATT